GACCTAACCTTCATGACTAGCCTGCCGTGCAGGACCTTGTCAAAGGCCTTACTGAAGTCCACATCAACAACATCCACTGCCCTACCCTTTCATCTATCTTCTTGGTTACCTCTCTTCGAAAAACTCCATGCACAAATCCATGCTGACTATCCCTAATCAGATTTTGACTATCCAAATGTTGGTTGATCCTGTCCCACAGGATCCTCTCCAGTAACTTGCCTACCACTGATGTCAGGCTCACTGGCCTGTAGTTCATGGCTTGTCTTTGCCACCTTCCTTAAACAATGGAACAACATTAGCCACCCTCCAGTCTTTCAGATCTTCACCAGTGGCAACAGATTAAGCAAATATCACTGCAAGGGCCTCTGCAATTTCTTCCCTAAGCTCCCATAACGTCCGAGGATGGACGTGATCAGGCCCAGGGGATTTATCTACCTTAAAGTGATCTAAGGCTGCAAACGCCTCCTCTCTGGTAATATGTATGCGGTCCAGAACATCCCTACTTGTTTCCCTTATTTCCTTAGATTCCATGATTCTCTCCTCAGTAAACACTGGTGGGGGGCGGGGGGTGGGAAGTAGTCATTAAAAAAAACTACCCCATCACCTGTGACTCCACGCAAAGACAGCCATGCTGATCTTTAAAGGGGGCCTATTCTCTCCCTGGCCACACTTACTCTTAATATAGCTACAGAACCTCTTGGGATTATCTTTAACCTTATCTGCCAGGTCCTCATACCATCTCATACCCTCTTTTTGCTCTTCTGATTTCCCTCTTGACTGTGCTCCTACACTTTTTGTAGTCATCTAGGGATTCACTTGAACCTGATAGCATATGTTGGGTTTAAGCTTTCTTCTTTTTCCTGACCACAGCCTCAATATCCCTCGTCAGCCAGGGATCCCTAAACCTGCCAGCCTTTCCCTTCACCCTCAGGGACATACTGCCCCTGGATTCTTGATATCACACTGTTAAAAGCCTCCCATTTGCCAATCGTTCCTTTTCCTTCAAACAGACTCACTCAATCAGCTGCTTTTAGATCTGGCCTAACACCCCCAAAATGGGCCCTGCTCCAGTTTAGCACCTTAACCTGCTAGCCCCTGAAAAGGTCATTTCCACCCCCACCCCGACAGTATCCAAAGCGGTATACCTGTTATTGAGGGGAATGGCCACAGGGGAACCCTGCACTATCTGCCTTCCCCCTTTACCTCTTCTGGCAGTCACCCAGCTACCTGCAGACTGCACCTTAGGAGTGACCACTTCACTATAGTTCTTAGCAATGATGTTCTCCGCACCCTGGATGAGCCTGAGTGCATCCAACTCCAGTTCTCTAACGATGTCTCCCAGAATTCCGATGTGATGAGTCTCAGCCACCCTCTGATTTGCCTTTGGGATGCAGTGTTGTCTGCTTTAAATTCTACCATGTTGACCAGCATTTGCAACATCACTGACTAGGAAACACGCCATATTAATGTACAGGAGCATCTTGATAATGCATGAATTGGATTGTTGTGGCAGGAAATAGCCATGCTCATAAATGATAAGAATTGACCGTGCCAATCAACAAATTTTGGTCTCTGTTCTACACTAGAGCTAAAAATAAGTGCTGCCATTCATAGTACCATTGATGACAATGTTTTAATTCGATTATGGGATTAGCACAGCATTAATTTTTGCAATACGATATAATGGAGCAGGTAGACCCAACAATGGAAAACGTTTGACAAAATAACAAGCATCATGGGTTTATGGCAGTCTTATGTAGTTACCTATTTGTATTCACTGGATTCTATCCTGAGAACTTACCTATGAAGAATCCAGACATTTCACCATCTGTCACAACTATAACTACGGCAAGTTTGACAGCACCAGCTTTAAAAACTAGCTCAATTTCTGAAGTAAACAGAAGACACGCGAGGATAAATAGCAAACAAATTCTGGCAGATAACGCCAGAACAATAATTTTCCATTTACAGCAAGAACCTACTTCTAAATAGTGAAAATTGTAGGAATGCCATCGTACAAGAGGCACTTTTGCAAGCAAAGATCTTTTGGCACGACTTAAATGCTAAAAGGTATAACTTTACGTCATCAGAATTCATTTAACCTTCTATTTAATGTTGCAATATTTGTGTTACAATTCTATGAAATAGATTTTTACATGTACTGCTATAACATCCCAATAAAGTGGAAATCAACAGTTTCAGGACTAAAAATCACATTTGGAAATTTGTTGCCATCTAGTGCTCCATACTGTAAATGCAGTTTTTCACATTCCAAAGTACAAATGTAACATCACTGAATAAAAATACACATTTGCTCTGTTTCTAAGAAAATAAAATTTTAAACTTCTAAAATTAAGACTATAACCCTACATCTTAAGGTAAGACTCTTGGGAAAATAGCATGTTAAAAAATAAACGGGCTTTATTCTTTTCCAGTTATCAAACAACAACACATTTCACGGAGGGCAATTTTTAACAATATCTTAAATGGTTTACTACTCTCTTACTTGGAGAATTGATTGAAGTTTCTGGTATGCTAAAATAAGATACCTCCACAGCAAGGAAGAAAATCTATCTAGGCTGCACGGAATTGAAAATAGACAGATCCAGTGGCAAAATTAGTTCTAGATCTAAGTCACACAATCACAAGAATGCACTGAGGGGAGGAACAGAGCCTGTACACTTCAACATGTGCAGGTCATCTCGCAGCCGCAAACAACTTCGAAACAGGTTGCACAACACTTCAGCCATCAATGTAATTCAGCGAAAGGAAGGAAAAAGCAGGGTTTTGAATTATAAAAGAGGGCAAACTTATGACAATGCGCACATTTGAAAAAGGTATTCATAAAGTTTCAACTTACATTTGCAGAAAACAGCTTAACATCTGATACAAAAGGTTCTCTGAAGACTTTGATGATGAGATTCAATTCCCTTAGATACTGCCGAATCTCAGACATGTACATCTTCACTAAATCATAATACGTTTGCTCGCCAGTGGTAATAGGTTCCTCTTCAATCACACCTAGATCTTCCTCATCTTGATGAAACATATCCATTAGTACCTAGAAAACATAGTTGTTGTTTTCATTTTCCATACTGTGCAACTGGAGAAAATTCAAAATGCAAACAAGAATGGTCTGCATCAGCTTACAGAAAAAGTAAACACAATGCTAAATTTCCAACTAAAAGACCTAGCAAGTTGAGCACAACTGCACTCCTGCAGTTCTCCCTAGATTATTATGAAAAGTTTCCTAAACATCATTAGTTCTTTGTTCAGGACCAGCAAGAGAACCATTAGCATGAATGACCCATCACACAGGCCTCAGAATAACTTTAAACAATTTTTCAAGTGACAAGTTCCTTTCAATTCAACATTACACCCACAGGTTTATTTCTGGCCACATTCAGGTCCTACACTGACATTACAGGTTTTCCATTTGCCTTCATTTTTGATTTTCCCTTCACCAACCTGGGACAAAACGGGTTTTTAGTGCATCAGAAGGTGGAAAAAATCGCAAGGACAATACAGCTTGATTTTAACTCTAATAGCGGACTCAAGTTTGATAAGGTTGTTGGCTTGCTTGCTGAGCTGGCTTGTTTTCGTTCAGACGTTTCGTCACCATGCGAGGTAACATTATCAGTGAGGCCTCTGGTGAAGCGATGTTGTTCTACTCCACTTGGAATTTATACTGCCCGGTCTGTTGTGGTGAGTTGTGTCATTTCCGGTTCTGTTCTGTATGTTTTTGTATATGGGCTCCAATTCTATATGTTTGTCGATTGCATTATGGATTGATAACGGGAATTCCTGTGCGTGTCTATGTTTTGCTTGAGTTGATAAATCATACTTGGCTTGACACACAATAGCAACTGATACAATAAAATCTTAAGCCGAGTCTCCAGTAGTCATGACACTTACTTGCTACTTTACTAGAAGTACATACAGTAGACACTTATAAATCTGGGAAGCATTGCATGTAATGAACAGAGTCAAGTCGCAAAGCCATGGGGAGAGACTAACATACAGACCAAGCATCTACAACTTGAAACTTCAAAAACTTAGAAAAAGCAAAATATCAAGACTTAGGAGAACTAGAGGGCATAAGTGCTCCATGATCACGTGGAATAATTCTCCTTTCCCAAGCTTTGACCAAAGGTTGGGTGAAAATCTACTGTTGGCATTAATTTTGCTACTGGTTAGTGTTAAAGCTTACGAGGGATATGGAATATTAAAATCAAGTTTAAATATGTTAGTTCAATGTTAATAAAATACTGTGAGGTTGAACTGAAGCGTAGGCAAATTGGTACTCAATGTACAAGTTGAGCCAAACAAGAGTGAGCTTTCAGACAATATTCTGAAATGGCCAACAATAAAACATATTACCTTACTCGATCGGTCACCATGTTTTTCTCTATTTTAGAGAAACCAAAGCCTGGTAAACCCATTAATCTTTAGAAGATGTCAAAGCAAGTTATCACTGCCATTTCATGAAATCTCTCAGCATCTATTTTATTTTTTAAAAGTATATACAAGGAGACAAAATGTCAACTTCAACCTATAAGAGGTCTTCTTTGTATTCAAACCAAATGGAATACTTAAGAGTCTGCAATAAAACTAGTTCAGATCTGGATTTTGCTCCACATTTACGTAAACACAGTTGTGCTAGAGGTTAAAAATCTATTATCTTAAATATATACCATGACACAGACAATGATTTACAGGGACATTATAGCAGCATAGGGCCTTTTGAATCAATAGAAGTAGAAAACAAATTCCACTGCTTTCACATTTATCCATCCTTCCTGGCAAAAAAAAAGCTATCCTGACAAAATGTAAGCTCTATAAGGCTGGTAAGCTTGAATTAACTAAGCAGAAGTTTTTAACCTGGGGAGTTCTGAGAGCTGGCTTGTCCCATCAGTGGTTTCTCATGAGATGGTTTGTCTGCATAGATGAAATTGAGGAGAATGCAAAAGTCCAAATCTGAGGTATAAAAAGACTATTTGTGTGCAGGTTGGACACGATGAGCACGCAGCCAGAAAAATTACTTTGTATATCATAGATTTATCTTGGTCGGTCTTTTGATCATTTGTGTGTTAATAGGTTTTCTAACAAATAAAACAGTGAGAATAAGTTCTTACTACCAGAGTTAGAGAAAGATTGCAGATTCGAGTGCTTACTACCAGAGTTAGAGAAAGATTGCAGATTCGAGTGCTTTGGTTTGTTTGAAATGGAGTTGGGTAGCTGGCCACTTGGCTTAGAAGATGGCTTGGAGAGGGCGAGAGAGTGGTTCTGAAAAGAAAGCTTCTGGTCTGAGTGTGCCACAAGGCAGTAACCTGTATTGAGATTTGACATTGAGATGAAGAAACAGGAGCTTTCAGCCTAAATTGTAGCTGCCAGCCTAATTCAGACTGGCTAACTCAGCAAGGTCCAGAGACTGAATCTGCTCTGCGTCGCTCACAACCATACTGGATGATACACTGACAAAGTGCATGTGCCATACAATGTTGGGGGAAAAGAAGGGTGGAAAGAAGGGGGCTTGTTCATCTCTGTTTCATACTTAGCTGGATATGATGTCATGCATTCTTCAATATCTTCAATTTGATGTAATAAAATATTGACAATGTGCTTCATAGAATCCCTATAGTGTGGGAACAGGCCATTCGGCCCAACAAGTGCACACCGACCCTCCGAAGTGCATCCCACCTAGACCCAACCCACTACGCTATTCATGTAACCCTGCATTTCCTGTGGCTAATGCACCTAACCTACACATCCCTGAACACTATGGGCAATTTAGTATGGCAAATTCACATAACTTGTGCATCTTTGGACTGTAACAGGAAACCTGAGCACCCAGTGGAAGCCCATACAGGCATGCTTCTTTAACAGGCAAATGAATCAGGTTTGGGTACCTGTCTCTTTGAATTAAGATGGGGTGCAAAGGATGAAAGGGGGATGGCCTTTGTCACTAAAGGCGATAAGGTTGGATGAATAATGTTTCTTACTCAATTTCCCTTGTGTCATTACTACGGTGGTTTATTTGAATCACTGGTTTTTAATGTAATGTTGGGATTTAGTTTTGAAATACTAATTATGTTACTGGTGTTCAAAGAGGGGCCTTGGAGGCAGATGAGTATTGCTTTGAGGTCGAAAAAGCATATTCCAAAACAAAATCAATATATTTAAGAACATTTAAAATAGAAAAAGCATTTATGTACTTTATTTACAATAAAAATATGGTTGTAAAAGTTTGTCTGGCATTCCAGTAGAACTCAGGTTTCTCCACTAGAGCGATGGCCTTTGATGCTTTGAGAAAAAAACTTGTAACCTCTTTTTATCCAAAAATAAAACTGTGGTTTGTCCTGGAAAGGATGTAATTGGACACCTTGGCAAGCATTTTAGTTTCAAGATATGCCCATTTGATCTGAGGCTGCTTTAGGGATATAAGTTAAAAAGCATGAGTGAATAGACAGCTGATTAAACTCAGCTGGTCTCAGTGTCTGCAGTTCAGAACAGATTCTGTTCATTAATATAAAAACAAAAACTGCTAGAAGCACTCAACAATTATGGAAGCATCTGTGTAGAGAAACAGAGTTTACATTTCAACAGTACCAGGAAAGGTTATAGATTTTGAGTAAGGGATAGGGGGGAAAAACACAGGACACAGCAAGGTTTGTGACTGCATGAAAGTCAGGAGGAATTGAATAACCCAATAGCTCATCTCTTGCAGGGCAAAAGTGAAGTGAATGGTGATGGGTCAAGAAAAAGAAACAAAGAAGCAAAAGATGCATCTCAAGCAGATATACTGCTAACAGGAGAACATCAAAAGCAAAACGTAGAGATAATGGTCTGAAATTGCTGAACTCAAATGTAAAGCCCAGAAGGCTGCAAAGTGCCTAAGTGAAAGGGGAGCTGCTGTTCCTCAACCCTACATGGAGTTTTACAGGGACAATGTAGAGTGTAGCAATGTTAACGTGATAGCAAGGCAGAAAATTTAAAAGACCGGCCACCTGAAGCTAGCGTTACGCTTTTGGACTGAATGGAGATGTTCCAAAAAGCAATCATCCAATCTGCGTTTGGTCTCTCCCATGTCGGACACACACATTTTAAGTGTGAATGTAGTACACTAGATTTGAATTAATACCCATAAATTACTGCTTCATCGAGAAGGAATGGTTGGTGTTTTCAATGGTAAGGAGAGAAGAGGTCTAAAGGCAGACATTGCATTTGCTGCTTGGTAGTAAGATGTCCCCAGACTAAGTAAGAGATTTCCCTCAACCAAACAAATCATATTTCCTTTGTTGTCAGTGAAAAGTGTGACTTTCATAGAGTAAATAAAGAATATTAGTAAAACAAAAAAAGAAATTGGTTAGCAAAATGGATGTTTTCTTGCCTTATCAGCACACATAGCCACTTTAATGTCTTGTTGGGTGATTTCATAGTGCCGTATGTTTCGTACATAATTGCCTGCTAGCTTAAGTATGTCAGCAGATATGTACTCCAATACTGCAACAATGTAAACAGAAACTTGATGGTCGACTTTGTAACCAAGAACCTCCTGAAAGATGAAGCAAAATAACAATCAATAACAATAACAAAAACAATAACAATATTGAACCGAAGAAACAAACAGATTTTCGACATTCATTCTTCAATTCAGAGTATTACCACTATAGATCTGCAATAGATACAAAGATCAGAAACAAAATTCTCAAGGTACAATGACTTTTGAGTTTTTTTGTAATAAATTGGTTCATGTTCACTAATGTTCACAAAGAATGATGTACATTTTACAGTTATTTCGAAAAAAAAGTGATGACAAGACAATAAACAAGAGAATCTATGATTAAAAGCAAAAATACTGCAGATGTTGGAAATCTAAAACAAACAACGCTGGAGAATCTCAGCAGGTCTGGCAGCATCTGTGGAGAAAACGTTTTGAGTGCAGAATGACACTTATTCAGAGTGGAGTTTACTGTGATTAATAGCTTCTGCTGGTTTGACTGGGAGTTTATTTTCCCAAGAACTGTGCATAATTAATTTTAGAAATCAACAAACACAAACTAATTTGAGAAAATGCTCTTAAGAGGTTTTAGTTTTCCAATAAAATTTCAAATTATTTTACACATTCCCTTGGAACATATCTGTTCGAGATCCCTACCCTTCAAAATGTAATGACGGCTTTGTCGCCAAGAAGAGAGAAATCGACAGGTGGATCAATCCTACATATCGTGTGGGGCACAAGATTGGAGGCAGTAGTCTCCAGGCTAGCCACTAGGATACTCAAAATACTGATCAAATTGCTGGAAATACTCAGGAAGTCAGGCACTGTGGAGAGAGAAACTGAGTTACTGCTTCAGGTTGATGATTTTTTTTTATTAGAGTCAGACTTTAGTAGCCCGCAGCTTAATATGAGGATGTGTCAAAACAGACTAAGAGTTCCAAATGTTTCTGTTGTTGTATGAGTAGTGAGAAATTTGGGTTTAAGGGCTCAGGATATCTGGTGGTGGTGGAGA